AGCCGTGGGCTCGTCTGCCACCTGGTTGGCCCGGCACCTCCGGCGGTGGTGGCCGAGGTGGTGGCCCGCGCAGCTTGGCGTCTACCGGCAGCTCCAGTGCTGTGACCTGCCAGTACGAGCTTCAGACCGGGCCTCGCCGCGGCACTGTGTGCCGCCGCCCGCACCCGACCGCCCGCTGTTTCCGCCGCCTTGACGATCTCTTTCGTCGTCGCTTTGGCCCGGCCCCTGACCTCCCCGACTGGCACAGCCTGCTTCGCCAGGGCATGCCGATCTTTGATTTAGATATGGATCAGATAGGTGCTGCTTTGCATGCTTTGTATGCTCACGCTTCTAGTGTTGCTGGATCTTATTACCCTGTGTACTCTAGTTTAGGTGTCTCACCCTTCTGTAGCTTAGCCTCCCCTGCTGCGTCAGGCGTAGGACTGCCTAGTTTGCCTAGCCTAGGTTCTGCACCGGCTCCGTTCCCAGCCTCCGCCACTGCCTCGCTGTCCTTCACTCTCGACTCCGGTTCTTCTGCGTGTTTCTTCCATAACCGCTCCACGCTCGCACCGCTTGCTGCACCTGCTATTGTCGCACTCGCCGACCCCTCTGCTGGTCCTGTCGTCGCTCGCAGCTCCACTTCCCTTCCCTGTCCCGCCGTTCCCTCCGGCTCCCTTACCGGCCTCCACGTTCCCTCGTTCTCCAGGAACCTGGTTGGTGTCGGCTGTCTTCAGGACCTCGGCGTTACCACCACGTTCCCTGGGCACGAGCGGTTTGCTGTGTGTACCGAGGCTGCCACAAGTTCCCCCCTTGCGGCGTTCCCCCGGGACCCGGTGTCCGGTCTGTTTAGCCTCGACACCACTCCCCCTCCGGTTGGTGCGTCCTCCCAGGTCGCTGCAGCTTGCTCGTGTCGGTCTCTCACTCACCCGTCCCTTTTGTGGCACCACTGCCTAGGTCACCTTGCACTCCCGCGTTTGCGTCTCATGTCCCAGCACGGTCTTGTCTTAGGCCTCCCCGCGTCGCTCCCCGCCCTTCCCCTCTCGCTTGCTCCACCGTGCACGACCTGCGTCGAGGGCCGGCTCCGCCGTGCCCCTCACTCCTCCTCGCTTCGCCCTGCTACTGCTCCCCTTCAGACCCTGCACCTGGACGTTTGGGGCCCAGCCCCTGTCCCCGGACCGCGTGTCGAGCGCTACTTTCTTGTGCTCGTCGACGACTACACGTGCTACACCACGGTGTTTCCCCTGGAGCGGAAGGCCGACGTGCCCCATGTTCTTCTCCCGTGGGTTGTGGCTGCGCGTCCTCACCGCGGTCTCCCCGTGTTGTGTCTCAACTCTAACCGTGGCGACGAGTTCGCTTCTGGTCGGCTTGGACAGTTCTGTCGTGCGAAGGGCATCACCCAGTCGTACACCTTGCCGGACTCTCCACAGCAGAATGGGGTTGCTGAGCGCCGCATCGGCTTGGACATGGAGGTGGCTCGTACCTCCATGACCCATGCCGGTGCACCCCATTTTCTGTGGCTGTTCGCCGTTCGCTACGCCGCTCTCCAGCTTAACCTGTGGCCACGCTCCCAGCAGCCGCAGGTTTCGCCGACCCTCCTTTGGACCGGGTCCCCCGGTGACGCGTCTGCGTTCCACGTCTAGGGCTGCCTTGCTCACGTTCGTGCCTCTGGCACGGACAAGCTCACTGCCCGCACTGTCCCCTGTGTCTTCCTTGGTTTCCCCCTGGACTCGTCTGACTGGCTCTTCTACCACCCGCAGTCTCACCTCTTCCTCCACTCTCGTGACGTCACCTTTGACGAGTCCGTCTCCTTCTACCGTCGCTTCCCTCACCGAGGTCTCCCGGTTTCCCGGTAGCCCCTCCTCCCCTCCTACCTCATTCTGCCCCGTCTGGGTTCTCCCATGTCACTCCCCTCCTGTCAGTTGTCCCTGTTGAGGAGTCTGGTGACTCTGGTGGTCCCCTCGCCCCGCCTTTGCCGCGTCCCCCTTCCCTGGTGTCTCCGCCCCCGCTGTCGCAGTCGCCGACGTCGTCGCCGCCGCCGCCGCCGTCGCAGCCGCCGCCGCCGCCGCCGCTGCCGCTGCCGCTCTTGGCCTGTGGGGGTGCTGGCGCAGAGGAGGGTGTTCGTCCTGCGGCTCTTGGCGTGGTCTGTCCCGGCGGGCCTGGCGGTGCCGCTGGGGCTGGAGAGGGTTCTCGCTCTGGGGGTGCTGGTTCCGGGGGTGCTGCTGTTGAGTGTTCTCCTGGAGGTCGTCGTGCCCCTGCCGGTTCGAGGGTCGAGCACCAGCCGCCGCAGCAGCCGCCGCAGTCGTCGCCGCCGGTCTCCGCTCTTCCCCTGCTCGGCCTTCCCTCCCCTGACCGCTCGCCGGTGTCTCCCCCACCTCCTTCTCACCTTCCTGTCTACGGCCCTGTGTTCCCGCTCCCGGACTCTTCTCTGGCCCGTCTTCCTCCTCGTTCCCCCCTTGTGTCCCCTCCGCTGTCTCCTGACCCTACACCTCCGTCCCACGTTTGGTCTCGCCGTCCCTCCCGTGCTCGTCCCGTCTCCCTTGTCCCGCACTCCCATCCTATGTTACTCTGTTCTCACTCGTCTCGTCCTCCCCTCCTCCCCTCGCCTCCTCCCTCGTCGCTCGTTGTTGCACCTCCCCCGCTGTCTGACTACCTCCGTGCCGCTAGTCCCCTTGTCCCTCGGGTCCTTGCCTTTCTTGTTACAGACCCGTCTGTTCCTGTCTCCTGCCTTGACACACGTGTTGCTGCTGTCGCTGACTTCGCCTCTACCCACCGCCTTGACTACGCTACCGCTCTGGTCTCTGACCCTGCCCGTCCTCCGTCCGTCGGGGGTGCACCTGCCCTTGGCAGTGACGTACTAGAGGACAGGAAGTACGAGCTTGCTTTCCTTTCCGATGCCGCTCCCCATCTCTGCTCCATGCTGTTAGTCCCTGAGGGTGACCCAGGCGCCTTCGACATCCCAACCCCTCGCACCTACGCTGAGGCCTCCTCGGGACCCTGGGCTTCTCAGTGGATAGCTGCCATGGAGCAGGAGATGGCATCTTGGAGGTCCACCGGCACTTTCGTCGACACAGTTCCCCCAACTGGGGTGAACGTAGTCGATGGTTGGTGGCTCTTCAAGGTGAAGCGCCCCCCTGGAGAGCCGCCTGTCTTCAAGGCGCGCTACGTGGCCAGAGGCTTCAGCCAGCGTGAGGGGGTTGACTTCTTCCAGACCTTCGCCCCGACCCCGAAGATGACCACTCTTCGGGCGCTGCTACACGTAGCAGCACAGCGCGACTACGAGCTTCACTCCCTCGACTTCTCTACTGCCTTTCTTCAGGGCAGCCTACACGAGCAGGTCTACCTGCGTCGACCTCAGGGCTTCACTGGTACCTTCCCCCCTGGGACCCAGTGGCTTCTCAGGCGCCCGGTCTACGGCCTGCGTCAGGCTCCTCGCGAGTGGCATGACACGCTGCGTGCCACGTTAGCAGACCTGCAGTTCTTTCCGTCCTCTGCTGACCCCTCGATGTTTGTGCGTTCCGGCCAGACTCCGTTCTACATCCTTGTCTACGTAGACGACCTGGTCTTTGCTACTGCTGACAGGGACGCACTGGCCTCTGTGAAGGCCGAGCTGCTGAAGAGACACACCTGCACTGACCTTGGAGAGCTGCGTCGCTATCTTGGCCTGCAGATCTCTAGGGACAGAGCAGCACGCACCATCACTCTGACACAGTCACACTTGGTGTGTCAGGTCCTTCAGAGGTTCGGTCTTCAGTTCTCCTCCGCACAGCCCACACCTCTACCTGTAGACCATGGGCTCTCCGCTCCCGTTCCTGAGGAGTCAGTAGAGCCCAGTGGACCCTACGCAGAGCTGGTGGGTTGCCTCATGAACCTGATGACTTGCACTCGCCCAGATCTTGCATACCCTCTCAGCATCCTGGCTCGCTTTGTGGCCACTGGCAGACTCCGGCCACAGCACTGGTCGGCCGCTAAGAGGGTTTTGCGATATCTAGCAACTACATCAGGCATGGGGTTAGTGCTAGGAGGACGCAGGCCGGTGGTCCTCACTGGGCACACAGACGCTTCTTGGGTAGACGACTCTGAGACTCTCAGGTCGTCTTAGGGCTACTGTTTTAGTCTTGGTTCGGGTGCTATCTCTTGGAGATCCACTCGCTCGTCGTCTGTTGCTCAGTACAGCTGTGAGGCTGAGATCTACGCTGGTGCCATGGCGGCACAGGAGCTCTGCTAGCTGACCTTCTTGCTCACTGACTTAGGTGAGCGGCCTAGCTCTGCCCCGGTCCTGTACGCTGACAACAGGGCCATGATACTCCTGTGTCAAGAGCCTCGGCTTGAGGGCAGAGCGAAGCATATCCAGCTGCGGTACTTCCTCCTGCGCGAGCTACAGCAGCGTCGCCAGGCCCGTGTAGTTCACTTGGCCTCCGGTGCCAACACAGCTGATATCTTTACGAAGGCGCTTGCGCCTAAAGATCATCAACGGCACGGCGTACAGCTTGGTCTTGTTCCTGGAGCTACTCACTTGTTAGGACCCTGATTGTGTATTCTCTACTATATATACCTGTCTGACTAGCCTTGTGGCCTTCCCACCAGTGGCTGGACTAGTAGTGCCGCCCTGGCTTGCTTTAGTTTTGTTTGTGTTCTTGCTGACTGGTCTTTGGACCCTTGCCTCAGTGGTTGGACTAGTAGTGCCACCCTGAGCTTTGTGCTTCTTGCTTGCACCACCCCTTCTCTAGCCTAGGGGGTGTATCAACTCATACCACATGTTATGCATGTAGAAGTTATAGGCTAGTATAGGTGTGTGCTCCTAGTGAGTACAACCCAACTGCTATATGTGTCATGTTTTCCCCTAGTAATTCATTTTTGTATTCTAACACTGTTTCCTGCCCTCGGGACTTCCATACTGCCAAGTTTGTCTAGGGTTCAGCTTGAGCCAGCTTGGCCAACTCAGACAGTTCTGCGCTTGCTTCCCTGTAACAGGTGCTCAAGATGATGCATCTTGAGCTGAACTGACTTGCAACCTGCCGGTCAGGTTCTAACACCCACTTTCCCTGGAGAATCCAAGGATTGTTCACATGGCTGACTCAGTACAGTAGCAGTACTGCTGCAGAATAGAAACCCAAAAGCAAATACCAGCAGGACTATGTTACAAACCAGATATGAAATAATTTCCAGCAAGCCATAGGTAGGGTGCGGCACCTCATTCTTGAGGTGGCCATTTGTTCCATGAAAACTCCTCTGAGAAGCAGAAGACAGCAGTCCACATCGGTGTACTGCCAAACCAATACCACCAGACCTCAGTTGCCGAACCTCTGCATGCCAAACCTCAAACCAAGACTCAGTATGCCAACTCTCAATATGGCTGCACCCCAATAGCCGAGGAAACGACATGCCCGTCAGTATCGCTCCACGTCATCCGGCCAAACGAGTAGTCTGACGATTTGTTGACAACAGTGAGCGTGACTGTAATGGTTTGCGTGCCTCTGTTAGCCAGAGTGAACTTGGTGGGCCGCACCACCACTTTCACATTATCTGGCTGCTCCAGGGTGAGGGTGTACTTGCTCGTCTTCCCGCTCACATTCACCACGCGCCGCACCACAGTGGCTGATTTCTTGAGTCGCGACACGCAGATGTTGGGCAGGTTCAGCTGGTACGCGGTGATCGGCGCTGGCGCCTGGATTGCGACTGTCGATTTTTTCGCGCCCTTGGAAGGTGTTTTCGTGGATAGAATACTCAGGCTCTGCGCTCTCGCCTCCTTGCTGTTCACCCCATACAGGAACGCTATGTACTCGTTATAAGTGATGTCAAAAATGAGGCCCGGGTCGATCGCAGCCGACGGGTTGATCTGCCCCGACCCAAAATTGAACGGTGTGGCATTGCTCTCATCCTGGTTGCGAATCCTGCTCAGGAGGTTGTTCTCCCTTGAAGCCGAGGTCATGATCGCTGATTTAATCGCCGCAGGGCTGAGAGTAGGATGCTTCTGCATGACAAGAGCAGCCACGCCAGCCACGATGGGAGTAGCCATGGATGTTCCAGTGAGGAGGCCGAAGGACACCTCGCCTAAGGGGGAGGGGGCAGCGGCGAAGAGCATGACGCCGGGGGCGACGATGTCGGGCTTGAGAATGTCGTTGGTGAAGTTGGAGAGGCCGGCGGGCTGCAGCGGGTTCACGAGCGGCCCGGAGGAGGAGATGGCGGCCACCATTGGGGCCTCGTCGCTGGTGCCCCAGTAGAGCGGGGAGAGTGTGCCGATGGTGCTGCGGGGGTTGTGGGGAGGGGAGGGACGCATATAGAAGGGCGGGAAAGGGATTCGATGAGAAGGCCGGAGAAGGAGATTGCAGCAACCACGGGGGATTGTTGCTGGTGTCCCAGTAGAGCGGGCAGAGCGTGCCGATGGTGCTGCGGTTATGAAAGGAGAGGAACAGGGAAAAGGAAAGAAAATGATTAGATTATTGAATCAGCAGACCAGAGGTCCTCTCGCTCTGGTGAGCTTCCTGGCAGTGAACGCATCATGGAGACGCCCAGTGAAATCCAAGACCAAGGGAACCTACCAAGATCAAGCTGCGTTGCTGTGAGTCCACTTATGGGTTGGCCCCATTGCCCAAGATGAGCTGCCTGATGCTGCAGGCGCCCCCGTAGTGCGCGACATGGACAGGGCACGTGAGGCGCCCCAAAAGCACAGGAGGAGGAAACACAGCCAGCATTCGACCCGCCACTTACGGGTTGGCCCCGTTGTCCTTGAGGAGCAGCCTGACGCTGTAGGCGTCGGTGTACGTCATGGAGAGGCACGGGAAGTCAAAGCCGATGCTCTCTGGGTCCGCTGACGGCCCGCGCGGCGCCAGCAGCATGGCAGCGCCGCCCGCCGAGGACACCACCAGCGCCTTGTCGTCCGCTGAGTTGCCGCCCGACATGCAGATCACCATCTTGCCCTGCACCAGCCAGTTGGCGAGCGCACCGGTGATGCACTGCTCCGCCTGGTGGGTAAGAAGGAGGGGAGGGAGAGAGGAACAAGGGGTGAGTGGTGCTGTGTGAGTCAAATCAAGGAGCGTTGCGTCTCGAGAGAGAACGGGTGAGGAAACAAGGGCGAGAAATCAACAGTTGGGGGGGGGGAGGGGGGGGAGGGAGGATTTGGGGCCTGCTATGGTTGATCTCGGAACATCAAGTAAAAAGACGCGAAGAAATGCACAACTCACATCGCTGTTGGACGCCCCTGGCCTCTTCACATCCACAGCCAGCACGATCTCCTTGTTCTTCGTGTAGTCGTCGCCACCCCGCCACGTCGCGCCGTCCACATACAGGCTCTTCCCCACGAAGGTGAGGCGGGCGAGGGGCGGGAAGGTTCGGCTGATAGTGCTGGCGCCGACGGTGAGGGCGAAGGGCGTCACGGAGATGAGGGCGGGCGAGAAGGAGTTGGGCGGCGGCATGCCGTTGTTGCCCGCTGCTTGCACCACAAACACGCCGGCCTGGAGAAATGGCAGAGAGAGTTACGGGGGCGGTGGATGGGAGAAAGGTGGGAGGGGAGATAAGAGCAGCAGTGGGGCGTGGAGGCATTGTCTGCAGCTGGCAGACGGCACGGCAGGTAGAGGGGTGAGGTCAGCAGCTGACCTTGGCAGCATTCAGCAGCGGTACTTCATCGAAGTACGAGTCAGGGAGCACGCCGATGGAGAGGCTCAGGATATCCACACCGTCCGCCACGGCGCGATCAATGGCTGCGAGCACGTCGGCCCACGAGCCGATCGCGCCGTTGGCCGTGTTCCAGAGCGCCTTGTAGATCGCCAGGTGGGCGCGCGGCGCCGCCCCTGTGGCGTTGCCCAATGACTGGCTGCCACGCATGATGGGCACGTTCCTGTTGCCCGCTGCCGCCCTGAGGAATGGGGAGAAGAGGGGCAAGGGAGGAGCAAGGCAAGGGGAGTGGGCGAGGGGTGAGGGGGTGTTCGAGTGTGTGAAGAAGTGGTGCTGTTTGCCAGCCATGTTGGACACGTCGCTGTTTCCTGCAGCGGCTCTTAGAAGAGGGGTGGGAAAAGAACGCAAGGTTGAGGGAACTTTTCTGAAGTGGGAAAGGCTAGGCATGCAAAAAGGGCAACCCAATCTGCCCGGTGAGCCTGTTTCTCGCGAACGAGGCCGGCCACGGGTTTTTCGCGAACAAGGTCGATTCGGAAGGGCGTGGCGAGGAGACTCACCCCGCACACCAGGTGCCGTGGCCAGTCCTATCGCGAGGCGACTTGGACTCGTTGAGCCAATCGATTTGCGAATTCGTATCGTTGGGGTCCTGCTCGCTCAGCAGCCCGTCCACGAACCACTGCGCGCCGATGAGCTTCGTGTTGCACTCGAACGGCTTCCACAGAGGAGGGTCGTCCGATTCTTCTTCCGTCGCGTTGCACCTGCCCTTCCACGTCTTGGGCGGCGCAGCATAGGGATTGATGGGGTCCTGAGATGATCGGGCAGGCACATAAAAGGAGAAATAAGTGGCGGACGGTCAGAGAAAAGCGACAACGTCTGTCGGGCAGTGAAAGAAACATGGATCGGACGGTCAGTCGAAAAGGTCGCCCTCGTTGCTTGCACAGTAAGCAGTACGGAGGGGCAAGGGGCACAAGGGCCGGGATGGGATGGGAGCAGCGGCTGACGTAAGCGATGTGGGGATGCTTACGTATGTCAGCGAAAGAAGAGATGCTTGCGTCAGCCAAAGAAGGGATGCTTACGTCAGCGAACGAAGGGTGGTCGGGCCAGATGCCCGTGTCGACGACGCCGATGACGATTCCCTCGCCCGCGTGCTCCGCGCCGCCGACGAATGGCCACGTGCCACCTGGCATGTTGAGGAAGTCCATTGCGCTGCTCGTGAACGCCTTCACCGTGCCCGGCCGCCGGATGTCCTCCACCGCGGGGTCGCTCTGCAGCCGCTCGAACTCCGCGGGCGACAGGCGCACGGTGAACGCGTTGGTGACGTACGTGTAGCTGCGAGGGACGGGGGCGGTGGGAAGGAGGCGAGAACAAGGGGCGGCTGATGAGACGCGCTCGCACTGCGCCGGCGATAGGCGCCCGTGAACGCGTTGGTGACGTGGGTGTAGCTGTTCGGGGGAGAGGAGCAAACACACGGACGGAGGGGGGAGGCGACAAGGGGGATCCGCGGCGAGGCGTTGGCAGTCAGACTCCCATCCTTCCCAAACACCCTCTCTCATCCCACTTCCTCCCTTCCCGCAACTGCCATCGATCACCCGCCCGCCTGCCGTCTGCGGCGCCTCACCTGTGCACGATCTGCGACGCGTCGATGTTGGCCTGCGCCACGGCGCGCCGCTGCTTCTTCTTCAGGAACCCCACGAAGCTCTTAACGAGCGGCGACCGCGAGTTGAACCGCACGCGGTTCCGCAGTTTCCGCAGCAGCCCGTTGCGCGACAGCCCGCTCATCATCGCGCTCGCGGCGCCAATCAGCCCGTTGGCGAGTTTCTGCGTGGCCTCCGCGATCGGCGGCGGCGCGGTGGCGGCGAAGCCGGCGATGCCGCCCTCGTAGGAGAGAACCGGCGGCGCATCGTTCATTCTGACGACGTACAGCTTCCGGCCATCATCGTCTGGCGGAGGGAAACGGCGGGGAGAGAGTCAAAGGGACGAGAAGGACGGGCAGAGAAAGAGGTATGCAGGATGGGCGGGAAAGTGGAGGGGAAAGAAAGTGATGCGGTTGGAGAGGGGACCAGCGGCGCGTCTCGCATTCTAAGATGCACAGCCGTCGCGTCGCGCTCTAACGATGCACAGCCGTTATTTAGGGAAAAGGGAAGTAAGGGAAGGGGATGGGGAGGGGAAGGGATGGGGAAAGGAAGGATTGGTGGCCGTGGGAATGGGTGCCGGTCGAGCTCAAGTTGACGCAAATCCGGAAATTTAGCCGGCTCCAGTCCCTACACCAAACTCGGCTCGGCTCCTGACGATGCATAGGCCCCTTTCGCTGAGTAATGCGCAGACGGACGACGAGTGGGAAGGGAAGGGAAGTGAGGCAGACCAGCGCTACGACGAGCGGCGCGAGGAGGGTAACGACTGAAACCCCGCGTTCCAGGACCGGCGACCACGGCTGGCACGACCCACGACCGCACAATTCACGATTCACGGTTGACGCCCTGTTAGCTGCCGCCGACTACTCGAAAGCTCCTTGCGCGGAACGAGCCATCGCACCGTTGCCTACTTGCGCTCCATGAATGACTACGACGGGAAGACCATGGCAAGGCGATGCCCTAATAACGCCGCCCACTACCGCCTCTCAACCGAGTTCCTTCGCGGACGCCGTGCTCGTCATCGCCTCGTTCCCTTAACCGGCGCCGTGCTCACGTCGTCCCTCCTGACGTCGTAACCACGCATTCATCGCGTAACCGTTCCTAAATGTGAGTCCCGTGCGTCTGCCTGCCTAGCACCGCCTGTCTAGCCCTGCCTGACTACGCACTTCGCCTGCTTCCTACAACCGAGCCAGCACGGAAGCGAGCCCACGGTAAACACCGCTACCCGAAAACGCTCAAGGCGCGTAATAAGCCAGTAAGGCACGGGAACAATAATCGTTTTTGCGGATTCTCTGACAACGCACGCCGAGCCATCCACTAGCAATAGCTCCTACCCGTGTCCACCCCGACACCGCCATATCCCATCGTCGCCATTAATCTACCACCCAGCCGCCATATCCCCTCATCGTCTTGCTCTGGTGAGAGGCACCGGCGGATACCGCCGTGGCTATGGCCCTTGTGCGTCTCGCAGGCGTGGCCGTGAAACGCACGCTGAGGCTCGTGGGCACGCTTCGTCACGTCGATGGGGGGGATTTGGGAATGGTGTTGAGCAGCTGGGGGATGCGCGGAAGGGGTGAGAGACGATAGGAGAAGCGACGGACCTGCGAGGGTGAGAGAGAGGACTGCGAGGAGCAAGCAAACGCGCGCAAACCACGGAGGACCCATCGCTCGGCTCGGCGCGCTGCAATGAGATCGGGGCAGCTTTGAAGGAGCGGATAGATGGAGAGGTTCTAGGAACGGTTGCGTTGGTCTACGACGAGCGAAGCTTTGTGATTTGAGGAGGGATTTTAACAAGGTATGGAACAAGCACGAAAAAGGCGGAGAAAGGAGTATGGAGTAATTGTACAAAGACGAATCTGTGGCTATTGCTAGCTAGGAGCAAGGGAGCTATTCTGATTGCGGGGAGTGCCTGTCGACGTTGTACGTGGACGTGGAGGAATGAGCGACTGGTGAGGACAGGTCCGGAAGATTTGCACGCTGTACCGAAACAAGTTGAACTAATGCGCTGAACGCACGGCTAGCAAGCCAAGCCGCTAAGTCTAGTGGCTAGCGGCGGATGAAGAGGAGATTAACGACCAGTCGTGAAACCTGGTAACTGAGCAAGACTTCTCCTCAAGAAAGGTACCCTACAGAACTATGCTAGGTAGTTGGGCGATGTTACAGCGATTACCCCTCTGGTGCTTGCTTCCACCCTGGGTAGGCTAGGGGCGGGGGGGGAGGAGGGTGAGGGGAAGTCCAGGAGAGGAAGGCTGGTGCTTTGGGGGCAAGATGCTGTACAGCAACATGACAGGGGCAAGGGGGATTCGTGTGCGGTGCGGGTGGTGTAGTGTGTGTGATGGTGCAGCCGCTGGTGTTGCCTGTGCTTGCATTCACTATGGGCAGCCAAGCCGCAGGTTGGTGTTCAAATCAGGCCTCTCGATATCCGGGTAATTATTCTGATTACTCCAGGAAAACAGGATGTTTCGTTTTTAATACCCTGATTTCTACGCATCCAGATTTGAAGTACACGTCCACTAGCAGACTAGGCAACAACATTCCACGTCCGATTTCCGAGTAGTGGAATGTATCGCCCTGTAACATCCGTCTGTAAGGCCTGGTTACCCAACATTGAAACCCTGCACATGCCGGAAAACCACCGAAACTGCCTTGCAAAAACAGTCAACATTTTTTGGTATACCCAGCTTGGACGAGCTGGTTGCGTGACTAACTCGGATTCTGCAGGGGGCCCTTCAGGGACATCGGGAGGCCTGGTTCAAATTGGTGGCAATCGGTCACCACCACCACAGTGCAGGTCGAGGAAGGGGGAATGGGTACTGTAAAGGAGCCCCGACTGACGGTCAGTCAGGGTTGACTTCAGCTCACGGCACCATGACACAAACCCAAATGCGGTTGCTTCCCTCAACTCAAGATTGAATGGTACACCTAGCCCGCGTTAATTTCACACCCTGAAACTGGGCGGCAGAAAAAGTTTATTTATACCCTGACCATTTCTGAGTGCGTAAACAGTACCCCCTTGTTCCTAAGGCCTAAGCTTGGCAGACTCCACGGGGGGAAAAACTTTGAGCACTGCCTAAGCTGACGTCGGGTTTCCTGACTCGAGAAACACTAAATCGAGCAGTAAGCGTTTTGTATAGAAAACCAAGTTCTGGTTATTTTCAAGGGTATCGGGATCTGGTCATCAGAAACAGCTTTCGGGGAGTAAATACCCTCTCAGCGGCACCCCCTGTGAAAATACTGGGTGTAAAAATAACACGGGCTAGGTGTACAGTGCAGTACAAAAGCACAGAAGGAACAGGTGGAACTGGAGGGGAGTTTTGGCAGTGGAGGGAAGGGGAATGTTGCCTTACGCGGTTTGGCGAAACTTTTGCACGAAGGTGTACCGGTGCGTAGCTGTGCGCATGCGACAGCTTACGCGGATCAGGCGCGGTGTTTCCCCGAAAACCACCTACTGTAATTCATGGATAGCTGATCCGAGTTCCTCATCGTCTTCATAGCCCTTCAACCCTAACGAGCCTGACATTACTGTACACACACAAGCATGGTCAGGTGCATGTCGAGCCCAGCAGGTGCTTTCAACAGAATCCAGTTTGGGGGAGACGTTCCGTCCAAACATACCGAAGTCGTTCCGTGACAACCGCTATAGTATCAGTTCAAGTGTCAAAGTGTAACACAACATCCACTAAAACAACATTTGAATGTCAATTAGCCTCCCCATGAAAATTGCCTATTGTCCTAAACTTCCTTGAATTGATGCATATCCTTCCGTAATGATGGCAATTTTTGAGTGATATTACTATATGGGGTGGCCCTTGGTACGGTTATTCTCCCAATAGTACAGAGGGTGTGTCGTGGCACTGGGATAGCCCTGTCGAACCTCCTCTCTCATGGAAGCTTTCCTTGGAGAACGTGGATATATGGAGCCCAACTCTTAATGCAAAGTGATGCGATCACAAGGGCTGTGAATTGTTCTAATTGAACACTACATCCAGAGTGATTTTACGGAAGCATTGTGATTGGCTTATGACCGTGACAGGGTAAATGTAACATAACACGAAGATTATAGCCGAAGGGATAAAGGGTTCACAGAGTAGTAAACAGGGTCTAACAATAATACATTCTACAGGGGTAGATTCCTTAGGGTTGAGATCCAGCTTTAGAACCCGCACACGACTCGAGTGGACTATGCTGTAATGAAGGGGTCGATTATATGTCATTTTTGTTGTGTCTGACTCTTGTCTCAGAATACATGAATGAATTACTAGAAGGGAAAACATGACACATATAACAGTTGGGTTGTACTCACTAGGAGCATACACCGATACTAGCCTATAACTTCTACATGCATAACATGTATGAGTTGACGCACCCCCTAGGCTAGAGAAGGGGTGGTGCAAGCAAGAAGCACACAGCTCAGGGTGGCACTACTAGTCCAACCACTGAGGCAAGGGTCCAAAGACCAGTCAGCAAGAGTAGAGATAAGACAAAAGCAAGCCAGGGCGGCACTACTAGTCCAGCCACTGGAGGGAAGGCCGCAAGGCCAGTCAGACAGGTATATATAGTAGAGAATACACAATCAGGGTCCTAACAAGTGAGTAGCTACAGGAACAAGACCAAGCTGTACGCAGTGCCGCTGATGATCTTTAGGCACAAGCGCCTTGATAAAGATATCAGCTGTGTTGGCACCGGAGGGCAAGTGAACTACACGGGCCTGGCGACGCTGCTGTAGCTCGCGCAGGAGGAAGTACCGCAGCTGGATATGCTTCGCTCTGCCCTCAAGCCGAGGCTCCTTATACAGGAGGATCATGGCCCTGTTGTCACCGTACAGGACCGGAGCAGAGCTAGGCCGCTCACCTAAGTCAGTGAGCAAGAAGATCAGCCAGCGGAGCTCCTGTGCCGCCATGGCACCAGCGTAGATCTCAGCCTCACAGCTGGACTGAGCAACAGACGACGAGCGAGTGGATCTCCAAGAGATAGCACCCGAACCAAGACTAAAATAGTAGCCCTGAGACGACCTGAGAGTCTCACAGTCGTCTGCCCAAGAAGCGTCTGTGTGCCCAGTGAGGACCACCGGCCTGCGTCCTCCTAGCACTAACCCCATGCCTGATGTAGTTGCTAGATATCGCAAAACCCTCTTAGCGGCCGACCAGTGCTGTGGCCGGTGTCTGCCAGTGGCCACAAAGCGAGCCAGGATGGTGAGAGGGTGTGCAAGATATGGGCGAGTGCAAGTCATCAGGTACATGAGGCAACCCACCAGCTTTGCGTAGGGTCCATTGGGCTCTACTGACTCCTCAGGAACAGGAGCGGAGAGCCCATGGTCTACAGGTAGAGGTGTGGGCTGTGCGGAGGAGAACTGAAGACTGAACCTCTGAAGGACCTGACACACCAAGTGTGACTGTGTCAGAGTGATGGTGCGTGCTGCTCTGTCCCTAGAGATCTGCAGGCCAAGATAGCGACGCAGCTCTCCAAGGTCAGTGCAGGTGTGTCTCTTCAGCAGCTCAGTCTTCATAGAGGCCAGTGCGTCCCTGTCAGCAGTAGCGAAGACCAGGTCGTCTACGTAGACAAGGATGTAGAACGGAGTCTGGCCGGAACGCACAAACAGTGAAGGGCCAGCAGAGGACGGAAAGAACTGCAGGTCTGCTAACGTGGCACGCAGCGTGTCGTGCCACTCGCGAGGAGCCTGACGCAGGCCGTAGACCGGGCGCCGGAGAAGCCACTGGGTCCGAGGGGGGAAGGTACCAGTGAAGCCCTGAGGTCGACGCAGGTAGACCTGCTCGTGTAGGCTGCCCTGAAGAAAGGCAGTAGAGAAGTCGAGGGAGTGAAGCTCGTAGTCGCGCTGTGCTGCTACGTGTAGCAGCGCCCGAAGAGTGGTCATCTTCGGGGTCGGGGCGAAGGTCTGGAAGAAGTCAACCCCCTCGCGCTGGCTGAAGCCTCTGGCCACGTAGCGCGCCTTGAAGACAGGCGGCTCTCCAGGGGGGCGCTTCACCTTGAAGAGCCACCGACCATCGACTACGTTCACCCCAGTTGGGGGAACTGCGTCGACGTAAGTGCCGGTGGACCTCCAAGATGCCATCTCCTGCTCCATGGCAGCTATCCACTGAGAAGCCCAGGGTCCCGAGGAGGCCTCAGCGTAGGTGCGAGGGGTCGGGATGTCGAAGGCGTCTGGGTCACCCTCAGGGACTAACAGCATGGAGCAGAGATGGGGAGCGGCATCGGAAAGGAAAGCAAGCTCGTACTGCCTGTCCTCTAGTACGTGACTGCCAAGGGAAGGTGCACCCCCGACGGACGCAAAAACGGGCAGGGTCAGAGACCAGAGCGGTAGCGTAGTCAAGGCGGCGGGTAGAGGGGAAGTCAGTGACAGCAGCAACAAGCGTGTCAAGGCAGGAGACAGGAATATACGGGTCTGTAACAAGAGAGGCAAGGATCCGAGGGACAAGGGGACTAGCGGCACGGAGGTAGTCAGACAGCGGGGGAGGTGCAACAACGAGCGACGAGGGAGGAGGCGAGGGGAGGAAGGGAGGACGAGACGAGTGAGAATGGAGTAACATAGGATGGGAGCATGGGAGAGGGGAGACGGGACGAGCACGGGAGGGACGGCGAGACCAAACGTGGGACGGAGGTGAAGGGTCAGGAGACAGCGGAGGGGACACAAGGGGGGAACGAGGAGGAAGACGGGCCGGAGAAGAGTCCGGGGGCGGGAACACAGAGCCGTAGACAGGAAGGTGAGGAGGAGGTGGGGGAGACAACGGCAAGCGGTCAGGGCAGGGAAAGGCCGAGCAGGCGAAGAGCGGAGACCGGCAGCGACGACTGCGGCGGCTGGTGCTCGACCCTCGAACCGGCAGGGGCACGACGACCTCCGGGAGAACACTCAACAGCAGCACCCCCAGAACCAACACCCCCAGAGCGAGAACCCTCTCCAGCCCCAGCGGCACCCCCAAGCCCGCCGGGACAAACCACGCCAGGAGCCGCACGACGAACGCCCTCCTCAGCGCCAGCACCCCTAGGGGCCAAGAGCGGCAGTGGCGGCGGCGGCGGCGGCGGCTGCAACGGCGGCTGCGATGGCTGTGGCGGCGGCGACGACGGCCGCAACTGCGACAGCGGGGGCGGAGACACCAGGGAAGGGGGACGCGGCAAAGGCGGGGCGAGGGGACCACCAG